CAGCATCATTTCCATCTGGACCAGCCTATCCAGCTCCATCAGTCATTCCTCCAGAGGATGCTTTCCTAGGAACGGTATACGCAAGTCCAGCTGCAGCCAGTACCGATCCATGGGCATAGGGAGGATCTTTCCATAACAGTCTTGCTCCACTTGGAGAGTCTCCCTCCAGAGCTCCCAGCACATCGCATATCTCAATTTCAGCACGTCCCAAGCAGAACCAGGCTCTCTGTACTGGGCGAACATCTCTTGCATTCACCACTGGAACTCCGCTTCCATGGCGACTGTCTCCTGGAACACACCACCAAATGTGACAGACTGCATGACCCCCAACTGGGTATCACCGCCAAACTACAGCTTCCTCCACTCTAGAACCAGAATATAGCAAATTTACCCCAAGCATCAGACAGAACCAATGTTTGAGTAAAACAGGATTGACTTTATAAACAACCATCACAGAATTTATACACAAAAACCTTCCCCCTAGACAGGTATGGCACACATTACCAGTCCCTTCAAACCTTTGGCCATAGAGTGTATTTCTTAGTCAGATGATTGCACCAGTGGTGGACATAGTCACCAAAGGCCCATGTACAAGAACAATGTTTTGGCCCATATATATATATATATATATATATATATATATATATATATCTTTATATCTATCTATGAATCTCAATCTAAAGTCAGACAGTGGACAACCCATTATAGCCATTCTGCATGTCTCAGTGCCAGAAATGCTGGAGGTGAAGGCATTGCTTCAGCTGGATATTGCAAATCAAAGCATTGTTACCCCCTTCCCACCTCTCCTGGTATCCCTTTAACTAGTCTGTTACACCCCAGGAGCAGGAAGTTCTATCTAATCCTGTTACCACTATGATTGGATGTCATAGTGGTCACATGATCAGGAGTTGTTCCTGCCAGTTCCTATTCATTAACACGGACCTGTCTTTAGCAGCTTGGTCTCTGTGCTGGGAACTCGCAGTGAGCACACTCTCAGAACAAAGCCTATGCCATCAATAGCCACATATGTACGGCATGTGGGTAAAGTCCACCCTCTTTGCTGTCGTACATATGCATTACATGGGTTAAGGCATCTATTCTAGCACTGAGCCATGTCTAGCGCTACGTAACAGTGGTAGGGGGTCCCAGCACTCACTTCTGGTATAAATGAAACCTTAGGTCCCAGAGGGTTCTCCAAAAAATGTCCCTTTTCCTTATGGTGTTGTAAGACTACTGAGTCCTGGACCTCTGTTTGTCCTTTGTTTGACCTAAGTAGAGAACTTTGTGTTGGAACGAGTGGTAAAACCCTTTCTCTATTCACTAGCTAGCCCTTACCCTAAACCACTTTTGTGTTTATGTCTATGATATTCCATTCCAGTTCCATACAAATCTCAACAGTCAAGAACGTAGAAAGAGCCGCATGTGTAGTGAGAAGCACTGTATTAATTATTTTTTTTTTTTTACCATAATTAGCTCAAATTTAACAGTGAAGAAAAGCTTGGGATAAACTTACTGATATATTTGAGAAAGGCACAAAAATCTACCATAGCTCGTAGCAACAACTGGTTTGATCCCATTATTAAATTAGCTATTCTCATTGCCATGGGTGAGAGCACATAATTGCTACTTGCATTTTATTTTAAGAGTCCAATGTATTTTTAGGTCCAGTTTTATTTTTAATAAAAATATAAAGCATAATAAACAATAACCATGAACTTGATATATACTATAATATAATTTTGTAACAAGTTTTACTATCCATTCATAACGGCATATTAAAAGCCTAATGTATTTTTTAAGAGGAAATAAATATTGCAATTTAACATATTGTGAACAGGCGCTAAAACTGACCATGCTTATTTTGAGCATTGCTTCTGAACAGGACCCTCGGGATATCATTTACTTCCTTAACAGAGCTGCACAACTACTGTTCTTTGGGGCCCCTGACATGTAAGGATTTGGGGCCAACATAATCATTTTGTTTAGGAAGAAAAAACCATACTCTATTTTTAGTACGGACTATAATGTTTACAATAAAGTGTTCTTATAGCCAAAACTTGTGTTTTCCATAGAGAAAGGAAAGGCAAGAAACTGTCAATTTTTTAATGCTGGTAGTGAAAAGTCTAATGAGAGTGCCAGACCAAGAAACTAAGAAAAAATCTTTAATACGAGTGTTAAAGGGGTTCTAAAAGCAGGATTTTTTTCCTTAATACATACCCTGCATTAAGGTAAAAAATGGCCCGTTGGTTATATAATCCTCTCACCCCCCTAAATACTTACTATCTCGATCCAGCACTCTGCCCGAGTGCATCAGCACTGCTCTCTCTCTCCTCCTCCCCTCACAGGACTCAGTGGGAGCAACAGAAGCCATTTGCTCCTGCTGCTGTCAATCAAATCATCGGAAGAAGGAGTGGGGGCAGGGCCAAGCTGCACTATGTGTATCAATAGACACACACACAGCCCGGCTTGGAAGCGAGCCTGCAAGCTTCTTATGGTGGCGCACCAAGAAGAGGGTGAGCCTAGAGCACCAGTGGAGGGCCTGGTAAGAGGAGGTTAAGGGCCAATACCTTAGCACAGAGCAGGTAAGTATAACATGATTATTATTTTAATTGAAAAAAAAATAAATAAAGCTTTACAATCACTTTGGGGTGTATTTACTAAAACTGGTGCACTCAGAATCTGGTGCAGCTGTGCATGGTAGCCAATCAGCTTCTAAATTCAGCTTGTTCAATCAATTTTTGACAATAAAACTGAAAGCTGATTGGTTTCTATGCAGAGCTGCCCCAGATTTTGCACTCTCCAGTTAGTAAATAACCCCCTAAAATTTATACAAGAAGACATAAAGCAGCCAAAGCATTTTAAGTTCTCATAAATGTCCCCCTTCTTCTATAGCTGCTACTATACTGCTCCTCGGCACTTTCTAAGTTTTATTCTCCAGATTTTTTTTCTGGTTACTTTGCCGTTTTTGAGTCCTTATAACTACATATAATATTTGAGCCCTGAAGAAGGGGGAGATCTTTGAGCCCCCGAAACATGTTGGCCGTTTTATGTCTTCTTGTATGAATTACCACTATTATTACATTCTCATTAGATTTTCCTATCCAAACTTTGGGTTCCCTTGCTAAGAAATACCCTGTTTATGCTGAAAGCAGAATCAGTGGAGCCATTGCGCCCTGTACAAATGTAGGTGATCTTCCTCACCCACAAATTTTTGGCAAGTGAAATCCAGCACCTCAGTCAAACATGTTCCCTTTTTTATTTGCTGCCTGTGTTCCCAATAGAAAGACTCAGCCACTCTATTTTTTCTAGTGGCCAATGTCTGTATCAGAGAAAGTGATGGAAATTTAACATATATACAGTTGTCACCAATACAGAAGGTGAAATCTTATGGGAACATCAGTTCCAGAGGAGATATCCACTAACTTTTGAGAGGTTTCATCTCATTTCCTTTTGCATCTCCAGGACAGGGAGTTAAATGCAATATTTCCAATGGGACACAGACAACAAATAACCTATTCCTACTCTGTTCAAAACTGGAAAAGAAGTTTTGGCTATAAATACACTTTACATATACAAAACTGGAAGTACTCTTAATGGCTATATCACTTTCATTACTTCCAGATATACAAGAGTTGAGATGAAATTTTGACATAATTGTATAGAGTAGGCACTGTTTTCGGTCAGTTCCTAGACTTGTGTTGAGAGAGGCAAACGGGGCACAATGGCCAAATGATTTACATCCTAAATGTCTAAAAGTTAATTTGCAAAGAGAATGTATAGTTTCAAAGAAATACAATTTTATATATATATATATATATATATATATATATATATATATACTTTTTAATTAGTAGTGCTGAACAGTTTGCCGTGCTGTGCTTGTCTATCAATACAAAGCTATTAATTAGCTAAAAAAAGGTGAAAATGTGTATATAATATATATATATATATATATAGTATTTGGATGAATACTTCAGTAATGAGTGGCAGTGAGACTCTAGTGGAAAGATCTCTGCAGTTTAATTCCCATCCCCACCCATGTGCTGTGACCATTTTTGGGGGTCCCAGTCATCCTGTTGGACTCTTCATTTTTGCTGCTTTAGGCTCCATGCACACTTTTTTTTAAGCTCAAAGAACGCTTGATAAAAATGCTGGCAATAGCGTTCTTTAGTAGTGTTTTAGTAGCGTTTAGGAGTTTAAGTATTTTATTAGCATTTTTGTACATGTAGAGGGAAAAAGATAGAAAAATAGCTGTTAGGTTCGTCTTAGTAGCGCTTAGTAGTATTTAGGAGCATTTAGAGTTTTTTTGCTGGAAAAAACGCTGCCAAAAACTCTACATAAACAATTTTGTTTCTGCTCCTAAACGCTGAAACTTGAAAAACACTACTAGCCTACAATAGTGTGCATGGACAGACAAAATAACACCATTTAGTTTCTATGAGCAGAAAAAGAAGGCTGATAACAGCTTCTAGGAGCTTAAAAAATGCTATTGTGCATGGAGCCTTATAGATAATGCAGAAAGAGTTCTCAACTCTGGAATCTCCCCAACATACGAGAAGTTGTTCTGTGATTCAGCCTACCAGTCTTCCTCCATAACTAGAGTACCTTCACCCTTTACTTAGGGATTGCTAAAAGTTTGTGAGAATCAGCCCCTGAAGAACGGAACTGTGCAACCCTGCCTAGTTGGCACCACTCTGTGCCAGGAGATTTCTTCTCAGTCTCCAAGGAACAATGGGGAGCCAACTAAAATTATCTGTTTTTAGGGAAGCCGCTCTCCTGAGGCTGTCTTAATAGGCCGTTTGTATTTTTTATAGAGAGTCAGACCATCAATCCAATTATCTGGATTGTGTAATGGTCTCTCTGCAAGCATGGTCACCCTTAGCGCCTCTCTAGCTACCCCGGTCTTACTATGTTGTTAGGGCTGAGAACACAGAGAACGCTCAGGAGTGCAGAACAGAGGGTGCCACCTTGTAAAATATGTGTTTTCGTTAATTGTTTAGGTGTATAAGATTCCTTACGGTAACTACACCAGGAAGCTGACCGCTTGTGTGTCCACCATAGGGCTGCAGAGTGACGTTTGTCCCAAGAAGTGGATGATCACCTCTTCAGCCTGCGACTCTCGCCGAGGGTGGAAATTCGACTTCAGCTTCTACGCTGCTGACAGGGAGCAGAATTACACCAGGTAAGCTTCCTCATAGAAATCCCACCAAGCAGTTACAAAAAAGCCACCACAATCTTGGCTAGTGCCCTTTGAAGTGCAGCTCTAGGCAAGGAAGGGAAGGGTTGGAACAAATGTCAGGTTTTTATTGCTAGACAAAAGTAAAAAGCAAGGTGCTCAGGGGCGGACTGACCATTTGGAAATTCAGGCACTGCCCGAGGGCCCGGGGTCAGTAGGGGGCCCCATTAGATGCCCCTGGTACCTTTTTCATAGGCTTTTTTGAGTTTGGGCAAGGACACAGGGGCCCCATGATCCCCTTTTGCCCGGGGGCCCCATGAGTTGTCAGTCCACCCCTGAAGGTGCTGTAAACAAATTTTCAATAGATCAGTTATTTGAATTGACACTGGGCCCACTAATTCTTGTTGAGCACAACTCCAAAAAAATAGGGACACCCCTCATAATGGGGGAAAAACCCAACATTGAGAATCTAAATATATACAGTCCAATGAGAGTGCCAAAAAGTAAAATATTCAAAACGTTTTTATAGATAAATACGGTTTATAGCAGGAAAAAATTCAATGCATTTCAAGGGTCAAACAGACTCTTCTGTTATCAGAGTTTAGGAGTTTTGATTGAGCTTGAATAGATTCAGGTAAGCTCTGCCCAGGTCTATTAGACAATAGGAGGGTCCTCACATATGATATAAATACATTTCCAAGCCCCATAGGGCCCCTGTGCAGTTGCACAGTCTGCATAAATGACATGTCACCACTGAAAGGTGTGCTGTTTAAATGTCAAATCCGCCCAAGTGATATTTCATTATTGTGTGGATGCTGATTAATTTACATGCTGTGTTCTTATGGCTCTTAGGGGACGATTTACTAAAACTGGAGCACTCCGAATCTGGTGCAGCTGTACAAGGGAGCCAATCAACTTCTAACTTCAGCTTGTTCAATTAAGCTTTAACAATACAATCTGGAAGCTGATTGGTTTCTGTGCAGAGCTGCATCAGATTTTGCACCATGCAGTTTTAGTAAATAACCCCTTAGAGTCTGCAATGGTGATGTTTTTGCACTGGAATTGTCAGCTGTGCCCAGCTGCAGCAACCATCACAAGGCTGAATAATGGTGTCGCGCCCACCCTGTAGATTGATAAATATAACTGATATGAATGCAGAAATACCACTGAGCCTTTTATATTAAAAAATATCTTATTGAAGAACCCTATGGCATGTTGGAATATCCAAGGCCTAGAAGTATAAAAAGCCTGAGGCACATACATGTTGAGTGGTACCAGGCTGTCTCTTGGTTTATTATTATTTTGGTACATATTCATACATATTCTTCACCTGGCCAAACAACTCCCAGAAATGGCATTATCCCATCCTGCCTTGTTGATAGGACATTGCTAAGACTCTCCTAGCCATTACTGCTCACCACATCTGTCACAGGAGAGAGCTCCCAAACCCAGGGGCGGACTGACAACTCATGGGGCCCCCGGGCAATAGGGGATCATGGGGCCCCTGTCTCCTTGTCCAAACTCAAAAGAGCCTATGAAAAAGGTACCAGGGGCATCTCTTGGGGCCCCCTACTGACCTAGGGCCCTCGGGCAGTGCCCAAGTTTCCAAATGGTCAGTCCGCCCCTGCCCAAACCCCTACACATTTGTGGTCCATTATCTCCTCTATCACAGCATCACTGAACTCAGATCCACTGTGACTGGGGGGAGAGAGCACAGGCAAGGGGTTTGAATTGGCTGAGTATGTCCTAGGAATGTTCTAGCAACAAGGCAGGGTGGGATAATGCCAACTTTGGGAGTTTGCAACCAGGCTTCAGGAGGTATGTAATTGATTTATACCTATAGCAAAGGCCTAATTTAACCCCTTCGCGTCGGCCCTTTAAGGGGTTTCTGATGCCGAGAGCTGGGGTGGGGTTTAGGGTTATGTGACCGCCGTGATTGGCGGTCACATGATCGGAAAGGTGCTGATCGCAAGAAGAGATTGGGACTTTTCCGTGGGACACCGAGACACGTACTGGGAGCGCGCAGGGCATGTGCCCTCAGCACATGTTTGTTTACAAATGCCACGCAAATATGCGGCCTCTCGGTGTCAAGGTCCAGCTGCCGAGAGGCCACATATTTGCGTACGCTCGGCGTGAAGGGGTTAACTTGGTCAAAGCTACACAGTTTAATTTTATCTACAAGTGCCCCTTACCTGCATAGGTATTTTTTGGTAAAGGTAAACTAAGCCTTTAAAGCTGAAGCTGTGCGCCATTTAATCTAGTTTTGAATTCATTAAAAAATAACATTTTAAATAAAACTAGCAGACGTATTTTATAATTTTTTTTATCAGCCTCCTGTAATCGCCTATGCAGCAGTACTAAAATTGGGAAAGGTAGTGGTAATACTAGGAGGCAAGCATGTGGTTCTGCACAGCACCTCCTGCTGGTAGCTTCCAGAGAGGAGAGCAGACCATTGACCTTATTAGTGTTCTGATGCTCTTTCACTGCCTAATCACAGGCAAGGGGGGGTTATTGAGCATGCTGTATGCAGACTTAGACTGGCCATACAATATACAATTTTCTTACAATTTTCTGACCAATGTCTTTACAATTTCCTTTAGATTTACCTTCAGTTATGTAGTGCAAGAGCCTGCCTAATTGGATACAATTGAAAGTGTTGTTTAGGTTTGACCTCCTATCAGGGGCGGACTGACAACTCATGGGGCCCCCGGGCAATAGGGGATCATGGGGCCCCTGTGTCCTTGCCCAAACTCAAAAAAGCCTATGAAAAAGGTACCAGGGGCGTCTCATGGGCCCCCTACTGACCCTGGGCCCTCGGGCAGTGCCCGAGTTTCCAAATGGTCAGTCCGCCCCTGCTCCTATTTTATGGTTTTTAGTAAATCTAAAGCAAAATTCTCAAGAAAATTGTATCATGTACGGCCAGCCTTACCAGCAAATATCAACCATAAATTAAGTTTGGTTTTCTTAAACAGATCGGAAGACAGAAAGTAGAAGCACCACACACTGGAACCCAGCCACAATATAGAGGCGTAAAGATACTGCCTCAGCCTGAACGCCTCCTGGCTATGCTCCTCTGACATGTTTAACCTGCCTGTGGGGATTAGTCATAGAGGCTGAAGCCATATCTTTACTTCTCTATATAGTGGCTGGGTCCCAGTGTGTGGAATTTCCACCTATTGTCTTCCGGTCTGTTTCTGCTAGCCTGGATGAGCTTGTTTGAAAGTTGGTACCCAATCTGGGCTTTGGACTGCATAGGGAATTTTTGCAATGCTTTGTATATTGGTTTTCTTAGAGTTTAGCTTTAAAGAAATAAAGTTTCAGCACACTTGTAGAATACAATCACTTTTATCATATGAAGTGTAGAAAATTGTGTGACCATACAGATGTAGTGACCTCACAATTAATGTGTCCTGGGGGCTATTGTAATTGGAATGTACCCTTGGGAGGGAGAAGGAGAATCTGCAATAAGATCAGCACCCCCTGCAGATACTTTGATCATTTCCAGCATGCTGAATTAGGCTGTTTATTTGACCTCTCCATCAGCACACTGCAACTCTTCTTTCAAGTGGTCTGTCTAAGCTGTATCCTGCTTATTCCCAGGACTGGATAGATGGCTTAGCTCAGTGCCTCCGCGGCCAGCTCTCCTATGATCCGCGTGCTTGGTATTCCGGTCTTGTCTGGGGAAGAGGCAGGCTTGTCAGTCTAAATGTATTATTTTTATGGACAGCAAACCTTTATATGGACATATAATTCTTGCAAAAGCCCATGATTATATTGTCTTATTTGAAATAGTGATTCATTTTAATAATGGTAATATTTATTAATACTTAAACAACCTGGAAAATGAGCAAATAAATTATACTTATCTGTCAGGCGGTTGGTGACCCGTTATCTTCATGCTGTTCAGGAAATCCAACGCTTCCAGGTACCGTGTATTGGATATCTGGTCTTCACCACACGCTGTGGTTCCATCTACTGTTTCCTACAGCACTACTGTGTCTGGATAATATATGATTTACATTATGCATTCTTTATTCTAGTATTGATATTTAATATACATTAAGAGATATGAAGAGATGGCTATCTAAAGAGACAAGATAGCAGTAGTGTGTGTGAGATGAGTTCTGTAAACCACCCTTTTTTTTACAACAAAGGAGCAAGGAAGTCAGAGGAAAATATGTGCAAAAAGCTGTAAGCTCCTTCCGCTGGCCAAACAGAATACTCTTTTACACAGTTTCATGATTTGCGGCTTAGACTTCTGTGACAATATATTGAACATTAATTGAAAATTAATTCACTGTATTTCTAATGATGATAGATGGAAAATAAGTATAGTCCATAGCTATACAGGTAAAAGACGCTTCTTTGTTTCTGACACCTATAGACACAAGCCTAGTGAGCCATAGTGGTATTTAGCAGGTTGAACAATTAGCACAATTCAGATTTTGCAAAGTTGAATCATACTTGGAGTGGGATTTAAAGTCAATCTGTCACATAATTTTAAAAAAGGCTAAAGCAAGCACTTACATGTAAAAAAAAAAAAAAAAAAACAAAAAAAAACAGAACCTTTCCTACTAATCAAACCACTGAACACTGCTCTTCTGCTGAGAAATGGCCCCCTACGTCCCACTGGGAAGCCGGTACCTCTGGGACTTTCAGTCACCTGGTCCTCCACAGCTCTTGCTGGTTCCTCCTGCTAGCCTCCATGTCACAGCAGAAGACAGTAGTAGCACAAGGCACCATTAAAAGTGGGGACCTAGAAAATAAACACTCCTGAAAGAGGGTTCAGGGAACCATTTCTCTGCAAGCAATGGAACAGCACTCAGTTGCATGGGTGGCAAAAGAGGTAAGTATGTTGTTTCTCCTTTACAGGAATGTGCTTCCTTGAGCCCTTTTAATTATGGCTTTCCACAAGAATTCGTAGTGTAAAATTTATGTAAATTCAGCTAGAAGAGCATTTGGAGGTCAGGTACTGATGCTGGATGAGAATCGCAAAAGACATTCCA